CTCTCTCTCTCTCTCTCTCTCTCTCTCTCTCTCTCTCTCTCACACACACAGACGCAGACAGAGCAGCAGGAAGAGCACATTTACTGTGTACGCTTCCGTTTATCCCTTTCTGGCCGAGCGGCAGCAGGGAAATTTCCCTCATTGGCAGAACTGGTGTAGGACCACGCTGGGAGGCAGCCCGATGAGTCCCCCCGCCCCAGCCCCGCCCCCGTGTTCGCCGTCCTGGCCAGGCCGTCCTCCACTTACCCACTTTGCCCCGTTTGGTCCTGTCTGCCTGCCCCTGGCAACTCACGTATTAATAACGCCAGTCCAGTGCTGCGGGGGTGGAGCAGCATGGGTCAGAGAGGGAGGGGGTAAATGTCAAACCCGTCGCAGCAAGGCGACGAAAAGACGAGCAGAGAAGAGTATAAAACCTAAAGGGTGCGGGCGAGGGTTCCTCCCCCCCTCTCCCCAGCACGGAGCAGTCAGAGCGGTGGGGGAAGGAGGAGGGGGGGGGGGGTCAACGGCAAACGGCAGTCAGCTGTCTGACCGTCCGACCGAAAGGATGCGTCATGAGGTGTCCCCCGGGAAGTTGTTTGAGTGGCCTGCGGATGAGTAGAGAGGGAGGGGAGGGGAAGGGGGGGGGGGGCTCATCGACGTCGCCTAAACAAACCTTCGCCCAGGTGGCTGACTCCACCGTCCACATTCACAGTTACACGTTACCCCGTCACGCGCGGTCACTGTAGGTCTCAGTGACGAATGACCGTCAAAACAACATCGGTTCGATGTCACGTTTGGCATTTTGACATCGTTTCGATGCCACTTCTATACATGTGATGTGACTGGGTTTGGGGCAGGGGAACTCCGTCGCAGCGGGGCACCACGGCCCTATCCTGAATGCATGGAAAGGTTAGAGACAGGACACGTGGGGGAAAGGGAGGGCTCCAAACGAGGTCTAGAATAAAATACCAGGTGCCTGATTAACCCCACGAACTTTTGCAGGTATACTGTACCGCACCGCATGCAGGCGTGAGAGCGGGTTGCCTCCGGCCGGGGCGCCGTCTAGAGTTCTGATTGGCAAGCAAGTTCGGCCTGTAAAGGTCTCGTGGCGCCCGGTAGGTAGGCAGTACCTCCCTTGCAGTGCATATGTGTACCGCGGCGTGGCCTACCCTGCGCATCGCAGGCGTTGAGGTCTGAGCTCCCGCAATTTGCCGAACGGCCCTGAGTAAAACGGACCTACTTTCTGGACGATCCCTTGGCTCAAGGAGCCGTTTGGCTTTATACGCCAACCAAAACGTCAGATAGCCAGATTCGGCTGTCAAGACACTAACCCGAAGACCACAGTGTGGCTGGGTCGACTCGGACGACTAAAGCATATCGTATACCATCAGTTGTGTCTGTCTGTTTGGCCAGCCGGTGCCGGTGCTGGTGACACGGCAGCCAAAGCGCCACCTCCCACCTCGCGAGCAATAGTTCAGCTTTCAGCGCATGATGGGGGTGGGGCGCCGTGCTGCCCTGCGTCACCACCGGCCCGGCTCCAGGGTTGCACAACTTCGACAAATGCCAATCAGCCCTTCCTTTCCTCTTGCCGTCACTCTCTCCCGCGGCGCCGGGCACACGGCACACGCCTCTGCAGTCGGCGCGCGCTGGTGCGGCGCTGGACGCGGCGCGAGGCGAGGGGTCTCACCGCAGAGCGTGGTGACGTCAGGAGCGTGGCGGGCGCGGCGGGGGGTGGGGGTGGGGAGCACGCCGGTGGGGGTGATATTGGCTTGTGGTTGTGGTGGTGCGGGCTGCCGAGGCCCCGCCCCGCCCCCTCCCCGCTCCGCCCGCGGCCACACCCCCGACGCCCGAGACAATTCTCCTTCTCGACCCAACCGATAAAAGGAATCACCACAAGGCCCGCAAGGCCCCCTGTAACTTTTCGGCAGAGTCAAGGACGCCACTGGAGGAGTGCGGGCGGGGCACCCCGGGGCAACCTCACGCAAACTGTGTGGGGTCAGCCGGACGGTCCTGCGAGGCCTGCCGCCTCCCCCACTCTGGAAATGCTCACCCCTTACCGCACATCCTTCCCTCCCCGCCCCTGCTGCTGTACCGCCCCCCAGCTCTCGCACGCGGCCTTCGCAGACCGCACTAAAATACTACAAATTGCGTTGCTGTTGAGCTCGCGAAAATGAAATATCGTTCATAAAAAAAAGATAGCTCTGCTGGCGTCATTTATTATGAGCACGACTACTCCACTCTCGGGGAGCAGCAGGGCCGAGGCCGAGGTCGGCGGAGTGAGCTTGCGGAGAGCAGAGGAGAGCCGCGGCGTGTGGAGAGGAGAGCAGCGTGCACTTGTTTGCGTGCGGCAGGGCGCGCTCCGCTCACTCTGTTCACGCCGCCGACGCAGACGTGACAATGCAGAGCCTCGACGTTCATTAATGCAAAGCGGCAAGTCATCGGAGCAAAGTGAGGACCGAAGCTCAAATAAAAAAAAAATAAAGGAAACGAAATTAAACGACGCTTCACCGCGAGGCTCATGGGCTCACGCCGCTCACGCAGCCGCACCGCCCCGCGAGTCTCTGTCTGTGCCACCTTGCGGAGCGTCCTGGGGAGGAGGGTCGCTCCCCGGGTGCGAATACCCTAATTAAATTTTAGGGGTCTGATTGGAAGCCGCCCCGCGCCACCCACCCGCGCCGCACCGCGCCGCGCCCTGACCCTCTGACTCCCTTTAAACTTGCCGGGCCGGACTTCCCGGAGTCGGAGCTTGATGGATGACTCCCCGGCGGCGGCGCGGACGGTGTGATCACGGGGCTCCGCTCCCACCCTACTCGGTCGGGGCTCTGACACCGCGTGGGCCGGTGCGAAATGGGATATCGAAACGATGCCGGGAAGGCAAAATTGACGCCGTTACGAAACCGTTTCGACAGTCGGGACAGTCGGCTTATATTCGGTGGTGTGCCGGCGGGTCTCTGGTACGGTTTAGGCTCGCCGTGGGCAGGCTTGCCAGGTCCCGACCGTGCCAAGTCGCCACGAGGGGGCGCTCAGATCGCCACCCGTCGCCACCGACTCAGATCGCCACTCGTCGCCACTCGGAGCGCTAGTGTCGCCACTCTCATCGCCACTTCCATGGGCGCGAAAGTTTAAATCACAGCGTGTCGTCACGTAAGAGCTGAGATCGCCACAAATCGCCACCTGAGCTCCCAGGTCGCCACCTTTATCGCCACTGCGCTAAGCTAAAAATAATTTGTACATTTTTTCGGTATTTCTTTTATTCTACGAGGTCCAAATCCTCCCATACCTCCTCGTACTCAAGCTCTGCCCCCTCCCCCGGACGCTCAGGGCCCGTAGTCTGGTACATGTCTGCGTTGAACATGGTTAACATGGCCGGACTCGGCTTAAACTCGCGGCAGCATTTGTCGCCGCCGCGCAGTCTAAGCCGAATCCGCATGATGGCCATGAGCAGCTCAGTCCCCATTCTATTTCTCGACTTAATCTTAATGGTGTTCATCACGCTGAACGCCTGCTCTACAGTGGCGTTCGAAAAGGGCAGGCTGAGCGCCCGCAGCGCGAACAGCCCCAGCTCGTTGAACGGGCGGCTGCCTTGCCGGGTGTACGCCCACACGCCCGTCCAGAAGGGGGTGGAAGAAGACGGCACCGACCCCCCGAAGTATGTCTCCCAGTCCGTGAGGGGAAGGGAGTCCCACTGCTTCTTCAGCACGTCGACGTCCACTGCCTCCCCTGTGCGCACGTCACCATTATAATTTTAATTGTGATGTTGCGCACGAACTAGTGGGCCGATAGTTTACCCGCGAGCTGAAGTGGAAGCTGCAGCACGCTCGGTCGTCGCGGACCCCGGCGGAGACACTCCTCCGGGTGGAAAAACTTGAGCGCGTTCAGCCGCTCTGCGTGGTCCGGCAGCACTTGCAAGATGCATTTTGCAAGCGCTAGTAAATAGCTCCGACATCTGAGCAATATTCAGGCTATCACGGCTGCGATTTTGAATTCAGAGAAATGCAAATAACCTCAAGCGAGAAATGCACCTTGTCTGCACCTCCCTCAGTAAACCAGGTTCAATCGTTATAGTGCCCAGGTAGATCGCGAATTTCGCTCCGTAGTCAACTTGGCTCAGCGGGAGGTGACACTGGGGGTCATCCAGATTGACCCCGAGGCGTGCCTGGTTGGCGTCTGTCAGACCTGCCCCCTGGAGTGTCGTGGGGACAGCCTCCGGCTTGAGGGCCTTCCGCGCCACGAACAGGGCGAGGTCGTGCACATCTGCAAGGAGCGCGGTCACCTGCAACAACAGGCCGGGCCGCTACTCTCACTCACCGGCGGATTGAGTGTGAGTGTGAGGGGGCGGGGGGCGCTCACCTCAGCCTCCCGGGCCTGGAACAGGAGGTTGACGCGGTTGACCTCGGCCGCAATGGGGTGGACGAAGAGTAGGAAAAGGTGGTTGGCGTCGGTGAAACAGTCTTTTAAGCGCCTTCCAATGACACTCTTCTCCGAGGGGTCATTCTGTGCGCAGTGGACCTGGAAGTGGGTCTTCAGTTCCAGCCACTGTGCGAGAATGACCCCAACTGCTTTTCCCCAAGCCAGCCATCTGGTTTTGACTAATTGCACGAGGGACTTCGGCATCGCGCCATCGTTGAAGGCTGCGTAGAGGTCCCTGTATTGTAGTCGTCTCAGAGGGCTTTTGGCAAACCAATTCCGACTCTCTCGAACAAAAAACTCTAACTCCGCTGGAAGGTGAACTGCGGCTTTGGATGCAGCGCCATGTAGTGAGTGACAGACGCATCTCACTAGTACGATGTCGGGAATCTAAGGGAGCACACAAACGTAAATGACGGCCTACCCGCGCAAACAGAGTTCAGTATTACTATAGTGACATGCAATGCACCTCGTCTCTGAATAGTGTGAACACCGAGTGGTGTTTGCCGCACAAATTACTCGCCCCGTCCGTTCCCAGGCCAATGACGTGTTTGTAGTTAAGGCCAACATTAGATAAATACTCTTTAAGGGAATCGAACAGGGCAGTAGCTGTAGCACGGTAGACTTCAATGAAGCCGAGGAAATCTGTCACTATCTCGTTCTTCTTCATCGAGTGGTAGCGGATCATAACGGCCATAAACTTCACCACCGAAATGTCCGTAGACTCATCAATTATTAGCGAGAAGCCCTGCTCGCCAACGTCTTCTACAAGCTCCGTCAGCAGAGCAGGGCTAATCACACTTGTGATGAGCTTCGAACACTTCGTGCGGTGTAGCATTAGGTCCGCTAATTTTGATCCTTTCCCCAACACAACTAGAAGCTCGGAGAGGTGGTCGATACTTCTCACAGCGGCGTGGCACGCGATAAAAACGGCTAGGCGGAGATCAATCTCCCTCTTCTCGTCGGAGAAAACCTGAATCCCCACACCATCCAGACGCCTTTGTTTTTGGACGTTGTAAATCTCCATATTGGCAATATGCGTCAGGCTTTTTGTGCCGTGCTTGAGGAGGTCTGCATGGTGCGCCCGTAAGGGTATCTCGCACACCAAGCATTTCGCGCCTTTGTTTTCTGGACGCCCAGCCGGGTTCTCCGCTAACCAGCCTACAGCCCAAGGGAACATGTTGTAGATAGTACAGTACCTCTGTCAGTCAAGTGAGATTCTGACGCACCCTTCAGATGCTTCTCATTCTCCCACGCCCGGTTGTAAAGACGTCGCTTTGGCGTGGACGTCAGGCGGCGGGACGATGTGGAGGCCGATGCTGTCACAGACGACTCGGAAGAGGAGGCCGTGGGCCCCTCGACGGGCTCGGGGTCGTCGACGTCCTCCTCTTCCTGCAGCCTCTGCCCGAACCAGCCCCGACCATGACACCCGCGCCCGCGCCACAAAGGCAATGAAACCGCGAAAATGAAACCAACCTGCCGTTCTGTCGCTGTGCTGCGGGAGGGTGCAGGTTGCACGAACAAGCAGTCCGCCACGCTGGACTCGGGGCTGCGGGGGACGGGGGCTGCTGCACGTGCACCAGGTGGGGAGCTGCGGGAGACGGTGGCAGCCGCACGTGCACCAGGACCAGGTGGGGAGCTGCGGGGGGCGGGGGCACGTGCACCAGGG